GAAGACTGGGAATAAAATCAGGTGGCCAGAGCTAGAATGACTTGGGTGTTTTCTTCTTATTCACTTCTCTGCCTCTCAATGTTCTTCTCTCTCTAACTGATTTCACTTCCTTTTCCCTCAAATAGAATTATAATTACAATGAGGCACAAGAAGAGCAAAGTTAGGAAAGTGGGGAACAGCCTTACATTATTAGACTGTGAAAATTACATGACTGGAATAGCATAGATAAGATTCTGTTTTGGAAAAGAGGCTAGTTTGCATAGGAAACTTGTGGTCAGATTTTGGAGGGTGTTAGGTACCAACTTGATTTAATTGTCAAAAGGCCTCACATTGATCCTTGAATGAAGGCTGTGCTACTGTGTGTGAACATTGCTGGGAGTGGGAGTGGGTTTTGGGAACTAGTAGAACAGGGAAGTACAAGATGGTTTAGACTGGGAGGAGACTGGGAGAAGGATGATAATTTTAGAATGTGATTTTATTACTCCAGACAAGTGACAACTTTAACCTGGGAAGGGCTGTTTAAAGAAATGTCAAAGATAAGAAAAGTATGTAGAAAAATATTAAATATTTGAATGAATGGTAATCAAGGAAGGTTTCAAAATTGGAGTCTTTGGGGTTACAGAAACGAAGAGGCTAGGGTGTTAGAAATGGAAAGAAATACATGATTTTATTCAGCCTCTCAATTTTGCTGTTGCGAAAATTGAAACCCAAATAAATGAAACAGAATACCCGACTTACCCTGATGTGATTATTATGCGTTGTGTGCTTGAATCAACGTATCTCATATAACCCATAAATATGTATACCTACTATATATCCATTAAAATTAAAAATTAAAGAAATCATTTGTTCAATGTTCTATGGAAATGTGGATATGATAACCAGATCATATGATTCTTAATGCTGTGTTCTTTCTACCACTCCACGCCAGTGGGGGATACTGGTTTGGGGACTGGAGAGCAAGGGGATCAGCTCACTTTGGGTGACACCATGTGTCATGCTAAAGAGGAAGTGCAGAAGAGAGCCTTCCTGACAAGACACAGAGGGCTAAGAGGAGTCAGGGCAGAAAAGAATAAGGGGTGATCATGACGGGTTTTATTTGACCGAATTGTTTTCATTATTCTATGTACAAGATTCTGCTAGAGAGGAGACATTTGCCCTGTTGCTGCTAAGTAGATTCCCCCAATGTGCAGTTCTCTTCTTATGAGCTAAAGTCATATGTTGGTTGGGTGGTTGAATGTCTAGTCAAATTTCTATTTTCTTTCTTAAAAAAAAAAGGCCTCAGATCTTGCAAGGCCTATCTCCTAAAGATGAATTTCCTTCTAATTTCTGCATTCCTACAGGTTGCCATTATCACAGACATCAGTCTTCTCCTGGGAGAAGCGTACACAGTGGAGTGGGATATAAAGAAGAGGGATTTTGAAAAAATAGACTGTTACCCTGATGAGAATGGCGCTTCTGCAGAAAACTGCACTGCCCGTGGCTGTATCTGGGAGGTAACCATGCTGCTGGGGTTCACGTGCATGGAAATCTCCACACCTAATGTATAGTTTCTTAAGCATAGCAGTAGTACTTACATAACTACTTAAAATCCATAGAAAGGACTTCCTAAGGGACATGATCTGGATGTGATGAGTAGGTGGGGACATGTGTGAAAGTTTTTAAAATGAATATTTTGCTTGGAGACCAGGAATTTAAATTTATGTTATTGCCAAGTGATCAGTGATGGGCTGGTTTTATTGT